GATGATGGATTGCAAGGATTAACATCCTTTCCCCCTTAAGGTAAGGATTTCTTCCTTTTATGAATCTTTGAGCTTCAATGGTGAAATTGTTAGATTAGTTAGATTGTTTGAATTAATCAACTTATAACTCGATTTGTATGTTATTGAAAGTGTTTAGAAGCTTTTTATGTGATTTTCAAGGTGAAATTAGGGTTAACCCTAACTAGTGAGGAAGATGAATTTATGCAATAGAGTTCAAATTGTAATGAATTAGGTAGTATATGTTGCTTAATTCATTAAGGTATAAAAGATTTAGAGATAGAAAATAAGATGTTATAATTATGATCAACTGAGTGATTATTTTGGTATATAAAGCTATTTTTTTTTTGAACCGGCAAATATAATATATAACTACTACTAAACTAACACCCAAATCCACCTATGTCCACGACGGGACTTGAACCCTCAACCTCAAGTAGAGAGGGCACCACCTGATACCGCTAGGCTACAAGCCCTTTGGTGGTATATAGAGCTATTAATAGGTTAAGACAAGTTCTAAAGAGCGTAATATGTTGTATGAATAGGCCTTAAGCAAAGAAGACAAATCAAGATGCATCAATTGGAGATTTGAAGCCAATGGTAGTTTGTTTTCACTAATTAACAAGATGGGTTATACTCTCTCTCTCTCTCTCTCTCTCCCTCTCTCTTACTGGATTATAATGATATGTTTTATGATCTTATGAATGTATATGTATGCATGTTTATATATGGATGGTAATGTGTCAAATACCCACAAAATATTATGTAAAGATGGAATGTGATTACATAAATTTTAATCTTGTAAAATGAGTAGATATGTATGGTTAGATGTTAGTGGTATTGTGTTAAATACCCATCATATATTAGATGAAGATAGAGTATGGATGTATGGCTAGATGCTAGTGGTGTTGTGTTAAATACATATATGTTAGTAGATGAATATTTAAATTAAGTACTTAATGAATTAAGTACTAGATTGATAGTGGAAGATCTATTAATGACATGATAAGATAGAATGCTACGAGACATGTGAGGTATAAGACTACGGGGATACCATATCACTCACATGAAAGATTATGAGAAAAATAAAAAGATGTTTCATATGGGAATATATAAGGATGATTCCTACAAGAATGAGATTATGATTCCTTTGGAAATGAGATTATGTTTCCTTCGGGAATAAGATGATGATTCCTTCGGAAATGTAGATAAATGATTCCTGCGAGAATGAGATTATGTGTGGTTGGAGAAGGTTGAGAAAGGGTTCCATGAATGGAACAAAGTAAGAGGTTTCTTTAAAGAACGTGTATATAATCTGCCATGGATTTGTAACATCCATCAAATTTACACCAAAATTAAACTTTTAATTTTAACAAAAGAAACAAATAGTAATTGTTTTTACAAAACATTTCCAACTCATTTATCATCAGAGTGTCCCAATACAAATCATAAGGATGAGGAGCGGTACGGTCACGCCTTCACCTTCCCTCGATCTCCTAAAGTACCTGAATCAATAAACTAAAAACTGTAAGCCCGAAGGCTTAGTGAGCTACCCCCAAAATACCAATACCGAACTGACAGAAACCATGTCAGTATCAATCAATCAATCAACATGCATACTGGGCCATCGGCCTGACTGGTCCGCCATATTGGGCCTACAGTCTCTCTGAATCTATCCCGAGCCTTCGGCATGACTAGTACGCCACGTGGGCCTACAGTCTCCCCGGACCGCTCATAGGGTATGTTGGCCTTCAGCACAAAGCAGGACCGCCTCAACCCAACCCACAAACAAATAACCATGTGTGCATACTATCTTATACAGGTATATACAAACATCAAGCATATCTATCTCACTGATCATCAATCATAGAATTCTCTCGTAACTAGAGCATCGACCTAGCAGGTCACTAACATACCAATCCCTACGGATCATAAAAGCATAACATACTGTCTCCCCTAATTCCGATCAACCAGATCATATCACATGTAGCATACCATAACAATAACAACTAAAGGGTCGGCCTTGGTGCCGTAGACCTTATCGATATAGTGAGGATAACTCACCTCGCAGATGCCGAATCGGAAGGTAAGCTCCAACTATTGGATCACTCGTCACAGGCTCCACCACCTATAAACATGGCACAATATACTCATAAGTCCTTAGCCCTATAAGGCACTCCATAACCCACTAGTCAAATCCTGATCAAGGTCAAAGTCCTCGGTCAAGGTCAGCAGTCCATGTTGACCTCAACTCGCCGAGTACACTCGGCTACTCGCCGAGTCCTTGAAGCACATTCTAACTCTCCGAGTCATCGGGGTGACTCGTCGAGTTCCTTCGAATCCCGATCAAACCTTGAGGCCACTCGTCGAGTTTCCTCCTTTCAACTCAACGGGTATACACGCAAACATATCCTTGGCTAAAACTTACACAACTCGTTGAGTTGTTCTTCAACTCATCGAGTTTCGTGACCATCTTCATCTAACTCGCCGAGTTGTTCAACCAACTCGTCGATTTTACGGCTTCCTTCATCTGACTCGCCGAGTTGTTCATCCAACTCGTCGGGTTTAATGCACATCTTCATATGACTCGCCGAGTCGGCTTTGTGACTCGTCGAGTCCCTTCAGTCATTTTAACATGCAGACATCTTTAAGCCATGGCAAGGTCCTAAATTGCTGATCTAACTTCCTTAAGCCTGCTTATCACGTAAAGTTGCAAACTTTACGTGCATGCATTGCTTTACAAGCTCTTAATGTCAAAACCAACTTTTAATGGGTGCTCATGGACCAAAGGAACCTTAATCTCGACTAAAGCTGGAACTTTATGCTTGTATGATTCAAAGAGGGTCCATATCTGAAGTTACAACTTTAGATTTAGCCCATAGATTGCCATACCAACTTAATACCCTTATAAAACCCTAAAACTCATTCAAAGATGAGGTATAAACTGAAATAACTGAGGGAAATGGTTAAATACCTTCCCAAAAGATGTCCACAGAAGTAGAATTCGAATCTCCTCCTAGCTCCTTGCCTCAATCACGTGTTTCCCCAAACTCCTATACCAAAATTCTTCTCTCAAAGCTTCAACACACAATGGTACACACACACACACACACACGAGTTAGAGATGCAAAGGGGGTTGCAAAGGAACTAAAAGAGGCTTGAGCTTCTTTAAATAAGGGTGCAAACCCCGGGAATTAGGATTTCACTTTCCAGCTCCTACTCGCCGACTCCCACAAAGGACTCGTTGAGTAGATCACTTAACTCGCGATCCAACCCGCTGCTACTCGACGAGTAGGGCCAAAACTCAAAATATTTTATTTAAAGTATTACTTGAGAGTCGGGGCGTTACAGGATTAAATGTAGATGATCCATAAGGGATCATAGTGATCCACGAGGTATTCAAGAAAAGAAAAGTGACAAGGATCTATGATGGATCAAAGTAAAGGACTAAGTCTGAATCATTGTACACCGGTAAGTCAGAACTATGTTGTCCCCTTATATGATAGATGAAATATCACATATGATTAGACTATTTGTGTCTAAATGAGAGTAGAATGGTAAAGCAAGTGGATATGGGAGCAGAGAGACAAGAGGTGAGAAGAGATGAGATACAAAAAGTATGTGAAGAATAGAGTAGATGACGACGAGAAGAGATGAGAAGAATAGATTATAGTTAAAGAGTATGAGAAATAAAGAGAATAATGGTAGAGTGAAAAGAAAGAAAGGAGAGAGATAGAGTATGACTGCATGAAAACAAAGTATGATATAACTCATCAGATATGTGGTCTGATGTTGTAGATTTTTCATTTATTGCAAGTTAAGGTAGTAGTCGTTGTACGAGAGGAGGTAGAAGCATCGAGGGCTTGGACTAGAAGTCACTTTTATTTTTGGTATTTCCTTGTTGCTTTAAATTATGGTTGGGATTTATCGTAAACCCCGGTTATAGCCTAGGATGTAAAGTGTTTTTGAGATTTAGAATTCCGCATTTTTATAGAATACTCTAATAAATCCCTAGAATATTTAGATGGAAAAGTCGTGTCGTTACATGAACAATTACAATTTAACAGATAATATATAAGAGTAACTCATACAAATCGTACTTGGTGGGAGATACGTGAAATGAACCCACATTGATCGTTAATCCAATGTCGTCTTATGGGAACAACGTGACATCCGTAAATTTTGTAATTTTAAACAATTTAATGTTTGCTTCATAACAAAAGTCTCTAACTTTAACATCGAAAATCCCCAGATTAGTCTAAACACTTTAATAAAAAATGTTACTCAAACTTCAATGGCATGTAAACTCACATATCAAACCAACATTAAGCATAAACTAAAATAATCAACATAATAAAGACTAAAGTCTTTGACTCGGTTCTTTAGTTTCTGTGGACTATTTGGTTCTCACAATCAACATAATATTATTAACTATAACCAATTTGAAATCTAAGACGTAACATGGACATTCGGTGTGACAAAAAAAATTGACATAAGTGAGTTTTGATTTTTAGTATTATTATGGATGTAAAATAAAGATTAAATGATAAAAAAATAAGAAGAAAAAAAACCATTTTTCTTAAACATTTTGCAAAAAATAGCCAAACAATTAACATTTTTTCCTGAAATTAATCAAACAATTCAGAGGTAGATGTGCACAATGACCAAACTTAAGGGTTGTTTATAGTTGTTGACTGAGTCAGAGCCTAACATGGACAAAAGCTCTGACAGCATCTGTCTTTGACTGAAACTATGTTGTTTTATTACACATCCGATTAACTGTGTTGAATGTTGAATAAAATTTATCAAATTGAGAAAAAAGTTATCAATTATATTATTCGGACAAATAGTTGAAATTTATAAAGAATTGAACAAACAAAAGCATCAAAAGTCTCGTGAACTTTTTAAAGTACAATAATGTAATAAAAATAAATCAAAGTAGAATGTTATAACAAACAAATTATATATATATATAGTTGTTTCTTGCATTCAACCTTTTACTTCTACTTCCTCAAGTTTAAAGTTATTTTTCTCAAATTTTATCTAATCATATACAAACAACATTTTTTCATACCAGAAGACCTTTAATTAATTTTAGAAAACAAACATGATTTCCATTTTCTCCAGTAATTTTTTGAAGGCATTTACAAGTTCTTGTATGTCTGAACATCTAGTTAACAATAGCAGCATAATGGTTGTAGTTGGAGGATATGATATGATGACATACACGTCCAGAAAGCTATTATCTATGAGCAGCTTCTTTTAGAGGCACATGATTAGGAATCTGGAAATTAAACATGTATCAATATCAATAATTACATAATCCATATAAAAACAAGTGCCACTGTTGATGGAAATTAAAGGTGTATCAATATCAATATCATGAGTATTCATGTTTTTCCACTATTAGAAAAGTGCAAGCAACGCAACAAGAACATACAATAATAGACCTATTAAGCTACAAAATCTGAATTACTTATTGAAAAAAAAAAAAAAAAACATATAATCAATGAGAAGCAACAGTAGCAGGCTCATCCACCTTTCTAAAGGCTTCCCAATCAACTTCTCTCAATGATTTCAAGCGTTGTTCCAGTGTAACAAACCCAAGCTGAGGTGTCACAATCCCATTGGTCCCAGCTCTATGAATCAAAACTATACTCTCTCCCATGTCAGGCCCATGCAGCTTTCCAGTCAGCAAAACTCTCAAAGGCATGAACAGCGATTTCCCCTATCACATTATAAATATTATATCATTATATAATGATAAAAAAAATTATCCTTTTTTTTTTTTTTTTATAAATTATAATTATAATCTAACCTTTCGTTTTAATGATTTGCCAAAAGCTTTCACCCATTTCTGCCACCCGGATTTTCCTTCTTCAAGTGCACTCATAAACTCCCCATTATCATATGCAGCTAACAAGCTTTCTGCAACCACTATAAGCCCTTCTTCCAACATCTCTCTACCTTCAGAACTAGAAAAAAAAAACAATTTTATAAAAACGACACGTAATTTTTATAAAATTTGCATTATTTTATTTTATACCTTGATAGAGTATCATGAAATGGATACGATAGTAAATCAGAAAGTAACTTTTCTGCATCTGTTATCACATCAATCCCACCTTCTAGAAGCTTATAAGCATCCTGTATACAAAAAACAATAATTATAATTATTAAATGTAATGTCAATTGATATATATATTTTTTAATATAATAAAATAATTTCTTACTTCTATAAAGATTCCTTCTGATTCCTTAAGGATGCCAGAGCTCTTCCATTGATCACCAACTGTCTTTATCAGCTCTTCCATGGGAAGAGCTTTTAAATGCAACCCATTCATCCATCTTTATTTATTTTTTTAAATTTAAATACAAAAGTTATAAAAGGTGTATGATGAAAATTAATAATACAATGAATTATTTGCATTACCTCAATTTGGTTGAATCAAATATGGCTCCACTTTTGTTGACACGATTAATCGAGAATTTTTCAACTGTAACACAAAAAAGAAATACATTTATGCAAAAAGACGAAAAAGGGCATATCATGTGTATAACATTAACACCAGATTATATTACAAGAACTAACCTAGTTGCTCAAGGGTAAAAAATTCATCATTAGTCCCATCACTCCAACCCAACAATGCTAAATAATTCACAATTGACTGAGGTAAATACCCCATTTCCCTATACTGTCAATCTCAAAAGTTAATACTTAATACGCATCATCACTTCTAGATACAAGGGTAAAATGGTCATTTGTACCTGTCCTACTGAAGTTGCACCATGTCTTTTCGACAGTTTGCTTCGATCAGGGGCAAGAATCAATGACACGTGTGCAAAAGAAGGCATTGGAAACCCTAAAGCCTATGAGAAAAAAAAAACAACAAAAGGAATGATTAATAATTTCATCATATGAAACTTTTATTAATTCTAAAATAAAATAAAATAAAACTACCTTATATATCAATGCTTGCCTTAGTGTATTAGGTAAGTGTTCTTCTGCCCTGAAGCACAAGTGTTTAATACAATACTGTAATATAAATTATATAATATAATCATATAATAATAATATTAGATATATAATAATATATAGATTTAGTGATTTACCTTATAACATGTGTTATTGCCATGGTGGCATCATCAACAGTGACACAAAAATTATAAACTGGTTGTCCATTACTTCTCATAATCACAAAATCACCAAGTGTGTCTAGATTCCAGCTAACCTTTACACAACATCATTAAACAATATCAAATTTTTAATGTCTAACAAGTAATTAAATTAATTTTTGTATAAAAATTAATTACCTCTCCTCTAATCAAGTCGTTAATTGTTAAACTCCCTTCTTTAGGGACACGGAATCTGTAAGTATATGGAGTTCCTTTTGATAACTCTTGTTGAACTTCTTCATCTGTAGCATGGGCCCACTTTCCACTGTATACAGGAGGTAGTTGTTTTTCCTTTGCAATTTCTTTCATTTGTTCAAGTTCCTAAAAGGTTTTAACAGGATAAAAACCAACATAGCATCATATAGAAAGGACATGCAGTATGATTTGAATCAAAGATAATCCATTCACAAAATTCATGTTTTAGTATCTTGATTTTAAGGGGTTGAATAGGCAGATGTTATAATTCCTTGCAATGTCTACCACTTGGCACTTCTAGAGTTCATTTTTGTAACATGAAGAAAGAAGACAAAGTGAAAAATAAGATTGCAGATTGGAAAAGGATAAGTTTCTTTCAGTGGCAGCAGTGCACATCAATAAATATGACAAAGTTCAAGATTCACATCCATCATACACATGTCTCTCAAGTTCAAGGGCACTTACCTCATTTGAGCAAAAGCAACGATAAACTTCACCAGATTGTAGAAGCTTCTCAGCGTATTGTTTGTACAAATCATTCCTTTCTGATTGCCTATATGGACCATAATCACCACCAACTCCAGGGCCTATATGATCAACAGCAAATGTTGAATCAAAGTTCAAAGAATTTCCAATAGAATTCAGTTTTAAACAAAAAATTCTTCTAATCGCATGACATTTTGTTGGTTTTTTCTCCGTAACCATGAAAACTCATACGGATTTCGAAGCTAAAACTTGATCCATTAAAAAGTGATTCTAATTTAGGAGAAAGCAAATGGGAGGGAATCTCCAACCTTCATCCCAAGCAAGGCCCAGCCACGAGAGGTCTCGCAACACAGCTTCCTCCGATTCCTTGGTTGATCTCTCCAGGTCCGTGTCCTCTATTCTCAGTACAAACTTCCCGCCTTTAGACCTGTTCCGATTCGAAATCTTCGTTATAGAAGTATAGAACCTTCTTATCAAATTAAGGAGAAAGCAACCGACCTAGCGTAAAGGTAGTTGAAAAGAGCAGTTCTGGCGCCACCGACGTGAAGATTACCGGTGGGGGAAGGGGCGAAACGGACGCGGACTTGTCGGTCGTTGAAGCTATTGCTATCGTCTGAAACTGACGCGGAGATTGAGAAAGTTCGTTTTGGAACAAGGGAGATGCTGATAAAAGTGTTGCTGGTTTTACGGGTTTGTAACAAAGAAGGACGGAGTATGAGCTTTGATTGAGGGAAAACTTCCGGGATGACCACTCGAGTCCCACAGCCGATCCCGATTCCGGCGAGGGTCGCCATTTTCATCATCTACAGACCAGCCTGCAGGTATAGCTACTATAGATAACGATTATCCGAAGGGGATTGTGGATTTTGTCACAAGCGATCGAGAATTCTGACCAAACTTGTATCGGGTTTGAAGTTTCCGGTGAGCCCGCAAAGGCCCATTGCTCTTTTCAACAAACTTGAGAAACCGGGTTCTGATCCGTTCAACCGGATCCTGAATTCCTAATACCAAATTGGCGATTTGTGTGTAAAACTAGGACTTCCACCGGACAAGCAATGTTGACGGCTTAACCGAACCAAATTGAACCGGGTAGTATCAAACCAATATATGAGTTAATTTTGGGATTTGATTTTTGTTTTTATACAAAGATTCATCTATTATAGTTAATTTAAAAAAATAATAAATAGAAATATCTAAATATTTAAGAACTTTGAATTTATAAAAAAATAAAAAAATAACGAATTATTATAATGAAAATGTTTTTTTATCTTTTAAATTTAAATAAGTAAACAAAAAACTAATAAGTTTTAATTTTAAGAATTTTGAAATTGAAGGTAAATTCATTAATGACATTGATTCTATTTGTACTACATTTATTGTAATTACTAGAGGAATTCTCGCGCGTTGCGCGGCGCAGGTTAAAAATATATTATTAGAATATAGTTTTCAGACACCTTTTAGTTAATTCGATTCATTAATTTAGGTTCTTTTATTATTATTATATTTAATGTTTTCCTTTTAACTATGTTAAAAATATACATTGAATTTTTTTTAATATTATTTGATATTTTACTTTAGGTTTTAAATTTTACACTAAATTTTTAAACTTATTTAATATATTAATGTAGGTTATTTATTTAACTATATATTAAAGTTAACAAATTAAGTATATCATATTGATAAGTCATAAATTCATCTATTTATGATAATGTTTACAACTAAAAGCATATTTAAGTTAATAAATTAAGTATATTATATAGGAATATGAAAAGTTGGGAGTTTCAAATGAAAATGGTGAAAGAAAAAATGTTTCCTTTATAATACAGTATGATATGATGATTATAGTTTTAATTTTTAAGTCATCGTGACATATATAATTATTTGATAATTTTATAAACCGTTTAAAATTGTGTAAATTATATATCAAACGTATGATAATCTATATATAATGGGTAACAAAATGTATGAACAAAAATATGAACTACAACTTTTAGTAACATAAAAATATAAAAACATCTTTTATAACATTTGTATTAAAAAGATATATATACAACGAATAATAAAAAAATATGAAAAATAAACACTACACCTTTTAATAACATAAAAACACTAAAACATTTATTATAAGATTTATATTAACTTTTCATATTTAAATCAAAAATCTCTTCAAATAAATTAATGTTTTTAATGAGCAAAACTTTACAACATTATACAAGAAAGAAAAATAAAAAGTTATTAGTGATTCCTAATTAATAATCATAAGTTAAAAACTATTGAGTTGTAACTAATAAATATATATAAATTAGAAAACTCTTGAGTTTTAGTGTGAATTTCAAATGAATACGAAATGTGTATATATTATTATTATTATTATTATTATTATTATTATTATTATTATTATTATTATTATTACTACTACTACTATTATATTTGTCTAAATAATTGGTTTTGATGCATCATTTTTAATCCCTTCAATTATTAAACATAAAGATATTTAATTATAAATTTATAACATACATGGGTGCATATATATGTTAAGCAAATCACATATAATATATATTTTCATAAATGTTATATGTAATTTTTGTCATAGTAATATGGATAAATTACTTTCATATGAAGAACATATCATGATAAGTCATCATAATTACATATCAAATGTTAAAAATTATGTTATCTTTTAAATATTGTCTTGTAAATATGTTGTGTAGGATAACCCAACAAAAAAATAATAGAAAATAAGCATAATCAAAATAGAAAAACTACAATCAAATAAATAAGAATATTGGGTGTTGAATATATAAATAAAAATGTTACATAAATATACTTTTAAATCAAAAGAAAAAACTAACATTCTTCTACTTTGCTCAAAAAAAAAAAAACCAATATCCGTTTTCTGAATCTTCTTTCTTTATTGAACACCATTCAACAATAGAAATTTGATGACAATTCTTCATTAACCTGCAATCAAAAAAAAAATTGAAAAAGAAAAATGAGAAAGATATTTCAAGCAAAACATTGATGTTTGGAGAGTCACATTCAAGATTAAGTAATACATACAAATCACATATAAATGTCAAATGAGAAATTGAGCATAACAAAAGAATAGAAAAGCTTCATTTGTTTTGGTTGAAAGAAAAAATCATATTACAATTACCATCGATGCGACATGACTCATTTCTTCAAATCATCATATTTAGATTGTGAATTCTTTAACTATATGAAAACTTTTGAATCATAATATCTTCAACCAAATGACGACTTTTTGTAAGAAAAACGTACTAATATAACTACATATATAATGAAAGTGAAAGGGTGTCGGGTTTCAAATGCATGAGGTGTTGAACTTATAGAGTGTGTGATTTTCTTGGAATAAGATTATGTGATTAATTACTTTGAAGGTGAAAGGGCGTGGGGGTTTCAAATGCATGAGGTGTTAACAAATTTTTATGGGGGTTTCAAATGCATGAGATTCAAGAAAAAATACTAGCTTTATAAGTATGTATGATTATATTAAAATATTATGCAGAATTAAAAAAAAAAATAGAAAACGTATAAAATGACATATGGAAAAAAATTAATTCAAAATAACCATAAAATGACAATTGACAAATTAAATGAGAGTGTGAACCGAGGGATGAGCAAACGCGGGACTTCATCTCATTGGAGATCACTTCAAAATTTTGGAGCAGACTCTTGTGTTCTTTGGTGCGGTCAAGGAAGGGATTATGGAGATTTGGGATAAGCGCATGGGCACGTTATGCACAAACATTTTGGCTATTGTGGGCGGCTCTAACTTTTTCCTTCCGCAAGTTTTATGCTTGTGGAGCTCCCGAGTTCTTTGGGGAGAAGGACCCCATTGCTAATAGGAGGTGGTTAGCATGCATGGTGAACACTTTTCGGTCGAGCTTCTACCTCAAGTGGTCGAAGGTTATATTGCTTCTTATCTTCTGAAAGACAGAGCCCGGGCTTGATGGGAGGAGGTGGACTTCGCTTTGGGAGGCAATGCCACTGAGACAATGACTTAGGAGGAGTTTGTGACCCATTTTAGGTCAGATTTTCCACCAACTATCAAGGTGTAGTAGTTGGCGAGGGAGTTTCATGACCTTCACCAGACGATTGAGACTGTGGCAAAGATCACTACCAAGTTTAGGGAGAGGGCTCTTTTGGTTTCACAATATGCCACAAACGAGGAGATGAAGAAGACAAGGTACCATGATATGTTGCGAGATAGTATAAGGGTGTTTGTCATCTTTTCAACTTTTCAGACTTTAGTGGACATGATAACTAGAGCCTGAGAGCAGGAGATTGATTTGGAACACCTCGGGAAGAGGAAACCAAAGCACATGCAGACAGTTGGGGGTCCTGCAAAGAGACTCAAGTGTAACATCCGGATTTTCAGGTACTTTGTTTTGTGATTCAATTTTGAAGTTTAAGGAGAGACTCGACGAGTCGAAGGCCTGACTCGCCGAGTTATGTCGGGTTGCCACGTGGATTTAATGAGTAGACTCGACGAGTCAGAGGACTGACTCGCCAAGTAGGTCCTGGGCAGAGAAAACCCTAATTTTCGGTCCTATGGCCTATATAAGGACCTTATAACCTCCTATTTGCGGCCATATCTTCTTGAGAGCAACCCTAAAGAGTCTTTGAACGTGTAGAGTGAGAGGGAGGGTTATCTTGAGCATATTAGTGTAAATTATGCAAGAAAGGAGGAGGTTACAAGCTAGAAGGGCACAGGAGATTACTAGATCTGAAGATTTCATTCATAGGGTTTCAGCTGGAGGTATTATATTTGCCGCCTTTCCTTCCCTAATTGTGTAGATCAATTATTTTGGGGATTAGGGCTTGTATTACCTTCATGAATGGGGTTTTGGGATGCATCAAACCCTTTCTGAGCTTGAGATGTAGATTTGGACCTTGTAAGGTCTAGAGAGTCCGAAAGTATGAGGTTATAGAGGAGCAACCATGGAGCTTAGAAGCTATGAAGATTTAATGGAGTCATAATGGTATATAGAGCAAAATATACCATGCATGGACATCAAGATCGGACCTTTTCGTGACTTTTGGATGATAGGAGGCTAGATCTATGAGTTAGACTCTCAGATCTGACCTCAGGAGACCAAATGAGTAATGCCATGGAGATGACTCGTCGAGTCTATGAGGTGACTCGACGATTCAGTTAGGGTTTTCCCGACCAAGCTGAATCGTGTGTAAACTCGGCGAGTTGGGGGTCAACTCGACGAGTTGAGCTGGACCTTCGTGAGGCTTCTGAGAAAGTGAGCGAACTCGACGATTCATAAGGGTGCACTCGGCGACTCGGGTCAAATAGGGACTGTTGACTTGAGTTTAACTTATGTTGACTGTAGGGTTTGGTCAACATGAGTAATGGAGGTCATGGAGGGGTAAAATGGTTTTTTACCCACTTCAAGAGTTAGCAGGGAGAGAGAGTGGCCCTTGGTATATTTGAGTGTGATTAAAGTATTATTTAGAGATGTGTAATCTATGTGTTACGCGAAGGCTAGTTTGAGATGTCTGAGTACGAGGTTTATACTAGCCAGCTCATGAGGTGAGTCTTCCTACTATACTTTACCTAGAGTGGTACCTTTTGTATGATTGAGATGCCTTATGTGCTTACATTGCGAGTTGTGATATCCTGCATTAATTCTTTGTGATTTATGTTGTGTATTTTTCAAAGCTTTCATATTTAGGACCAAAGGGTCCACAGAGTTAGGACTGAGGGTCCACCAAGTTGTGGGACTGGAGGGTCCCACTGAGACACATTGACCGGAGGGTCTTACAGAGCTATGGCCTCGAGTGGCTAATGAGCTGTGTGTGGTATTTTAGGAACTCATTAAGCTTCGTGCTTACCGTGTTATATGTTGTGTGTTTCAGGTTTTTCTCAGGATCGCGGGAAGGCATCAGCTCGATTGTACACACCAGTGAAAGAGTTGTATTTTGAGGATCCTGAAGTATTAGTCAAAGAATTATGTAATTGTGTGTTTGTAATTCAAATCAATGAGCTTTTGTGAAAGGTGTTACGAGAATTATATGATTTTAAAATAAAATTTTTGTTTGAAAATTTATGGTGTTAC